TGGGTTGTATGCCCCAGCTGCTTTCCAAAAGAGCTGGAACATCAAAAGTCCAGGGAAGTGCACCTTGAAATTCTTCACCAAATGCTTACAACAATACCTTCTTCCCACTTTTGGCCATAACTCAGTCAAGGCAACATCAATACCCTTAGCAATGAAATGAACAAGTATTAGACATGTCAAATAAGATTGCAATGAGGGACAAAATAAGACAATTAAATCAATCATAAAGTCATACCTTTTGCCTATCAAACATTATGCACCAATTATCACCTCTGCCAGACTCTTTTAATTTAGTGCATTCTTCAAATGCCACATGAAAAATTTCCAGCTATCACTGTCTTCTGCTCCCACTATTGCCCATGCAATTGGAAATATCTCATTATTTCCATCCAACCAACTGCTGAGAGTAACACTCCCCTATAATTCCCCTTAAGATGAGCCCCATCCACACCAATTAGGCTTCTACATCCAGCTGTGAACCCATCTAGACCACCCTTAAAGCATATGAAAATGCTGCTAAACTAAATAGGCCTCTCTGGACTTGGTTTTGTCCAGGCAAAGTTTGTAAAGGACCCTGGGTTTAATTCTTTCAGTACATCACAATACTTGGGCAGATACATATATGAAATATCATGGCTACCATGAATGTCAATCAATGCTTGTCATCTGACCCTATATAAGGTGCTGAGAGCCATATGAATTCCATACCTCTGAAATAACAAATCATTAAGAGACTTGGCAGGGATATCATTATTTTCCCTGATGTCATCTAATAATACTTTCTTATCTCATCTCACATTCACCATGTTATTCCTTGAGTCAAGCCCTTGGCATGTATGTTCTGGGTGAATGGTTTTGATGGCCCATGTTGTGCCATCTGCAAGTAGTGATGCATGTAGCTTCCATTGACAATGAACATCTGAGCATCTAACACCATACCTTAAGTTGCTAGCATAGTCCACAACAACAGCAAACCCACACTGAATGCAATAATCTCTTACAACATCCCTGAGATGTTGCTTATCAGTGAACAGTTGCCACTCCTTAAGCATAATCTTCCCAAAACCCTCATCTTTGTACACTTCACCATTATTATATAACTTGGTCAGGTAATTAGTTCATTCTCACAGTCAAAATCAGGATCCTCTAATGGATCATAACTGTCTTCAATCCTAGGCATATCATCATCCTTCTCAAATATGTCTTCTTCTTCAACACTCTCATCATCTGTCTCATCTTCTAAAGCATCTTCTGGGGTAAATGTGTCATCTGCATCATCACCATGACCTTCCTCATCATTCAACAACACCATACTTCCTGTCTCAGTGTCATCTCCTAAGCTAATAGACAGTTCTCTAGCAATGTCATTCCCACCACCATTGTTCATATCACTCTTCCCCCCCCCCCACTAGTACTAGTGCTTATGACAATGCCTCTCCTTATGGCAGTGCTTCTAGGCAATCTACTTCTATTATCCCTAGTAGCACCCATATTGTTCACATCACTCTCCCCTCCACTAGTACTAGTGCTGATCATAATGCCTCTCCTTTTGGCAGTTGTCCTTGGTAATCTTCTTTGAAAAAAGACTGAAACTCTAGAAGAGCTAGAAGACACTCTAGTCCCAAACTCTCCAACATTTTTCAAGGGTGGTATAAGTGTTTGAGTTGATGGTTGGGGTTGTGAGTCTTGGATAAACAGTTCAGTTGGGGCTTGGTACTCAGGGACTTGGGTATCAACTTGGTCAGTTTGGTGAGGTTGTCATGGGGTTGGGGAGATGTTAAACCAATTCTCTAGTGCATTCCCTCTCCCTCTCCCTCTCCCTCTCCCTCTCCCTCTCCCAATTTCTGTCCCTCTCCCTCTCCCTCCACCTCTCCCTCTGCCTCTCCCAGTATCAATCCCTATCCCTCCCTGAATCCATATACCTCCCTCAATACCAGCTTGTGTTTCAATCTCATTTTATGCACCTATCTCAGTTTGTGTTTCAAGCTCTGCCTCAATCCCAGTTTCTCCCTCAATCCCAAATTGTGTCCCAGTTTCTCCCTCTCTATTACTACCCCTTCCTCTACCAGGCACTCTCCCACTATCCCTTCCTCTAGTAGACCCTCTCCCTCTACCACTTCCTGTCCCTCTACCCCTTCCTTTCACTCTCAATCTGTCTAACTCCATATCTTCCTCTAGTCTTTGTTCAAGTTCAGGCCAAGTTTCATCTGGATCAAAACTTAGAATCTCAATTTCAACTACTTGTTTTATAGGTAACCCCTGAACATGCTTATCAAATTTAGCCTTAGACACCACTTCAGCTTCAACCAAATTAGGGACTTTCTTCTTCCTAGGGGTTACTTTTTTACAAGCAATGGGTTGGTTAGGTTGAACAATTGGACCCTTTCCCTTAACAAGTAATCTAGCTGCTGCAACAACCTTAGTGTCCTTCAAACCATCCCCAACCCATATATAAACCTCTTTCTTATCAGGAAAGTTTACAAACATTTTCATCAAATCACTGTCATTCTCAAAACTCACATGTTTCATTTTGTACACATAATTAAATGTGGGATTTTGGGGTGTTTCAACATTGCTTTCATTTGCCTTTTCCCAATACTCCATAATAAGGTCTATCAAATTCACCTTATCTATATCATCAACCAACACAGACACATCTTTACCCCTATATTGAAACTGTAGCAATTTTTTTTCATCCATTCTGCAACAACAACAACACAAATGAACAACATATAATCACTACTTAGGTAAGAATTATACCCTAAACAGAAATCACATCAACAAACAAATACAATAACTCTTACAACACAATCATGCAATTCTAAGAAATACAACAGTAACAATATCAACTTCAGCAATTAAGATTGTCAACGTGCTATAATTCACAATCAAACATTCAAACATTGAATATTAAAAACCCAAAAACAGAGCACAACATAATGTAAAGCAAAATTCGACACATACCTGACTTCAATTGCCACTATTAGAGGTCTCAAGCTTCAAAAGATTGAACTTTGTTCACCAACAACCAATCGTCGACAAAAATTCACCAAAAAACCCCAGTAATTTCTCGCAAATTGTATGTCAGAATTTCGAGTTAAAAACCCCGAAAAAAACCCTCGACTATACCCTTTACTACACAAAAATTTCTTCAATAATAATACTCAAACCCACAAATTCCCAGCCCTAATGCAAAGAATTCATCACTCTCTCTCTTTCGATGCTTAAATTCATTAAAAATGGAAGGAGATGAATCAGTTAGGCATAAATTCTGATTAGACATAAGTGGGTGGAGGGGATATAAATGGGGGTAATTTGGTCATTTCATTTTTTTAAAAATAAGCCTTAACCATGGTTAGATGAAGGATTAAGTGTTTACCATTCGCTTACCATAATAATTTGAGGTTTACCATAGACATTTACAAAAAATACTGTTTACCATTGAGAAAAGTAATAAGTTAAGGTTTACCATTGAGAATTTCCCTTTTTTTTTTGAGGAGATAAGCTCTCATTGAATATGCATTGAGACTTAATTTTAAGCTGACTAACACTCCAATAATTTCACTAAAATGGAAATGTAATTAAGAGCTAAGAACCAAGGGAATAACATTTATTATTTTTCGTATTATTTGTCCCAAAGTCTAACAAGAAATCACCCTTGTAATAAATATCCTACCAAATATGGCAGCAATAATTAACCTAACTATTTACTCATCCTTGTAAACATGGTTTTTACTTGTTGGGAGCAATGAAAAAAATTTCCCCTACTAAAAAGTGAAATTACATATACTCCATTTGAAGCATTAATTTCTTTTGACTTATAAAAAACGAGATATGATCTCATGTCATGCAATTGCTATAGGTACTATCCATTATGTGTATGACCCCATTTCTCGAGAATGGAATCTCATAAATGTTTAGCTATTTAAACCCAAAAATCCCACAAGTGAACAGTTGCACATAATAAGGCATAAGAATCACATACTATACTAGAGAGCAAGTATAAAGTTCATAAAAACAAAGAGATCTCAACATCAATATATTGTTCTGTTTCAAGGGTGAATGAAATGAATAAAATAGAGATATAAATTTAGATGCAATTCCTCCGCAGCCGCTAATAAATTATTAATACACTTCCACACATCTTTTGCCACCACTTCACTCTCTGAAACCAGGTGGTATAATTCTCTCCTTGATCCTTCTTCTAATCCTACTGGCAAAACTTGTATACAACGAGTGTATATTCAGTAATTGATTTTTTTTTTTGGTTAAACAGTAATTGAATTTATTCTTCTAAATTCGCATCACTCGTCCTACAATATACTATAGTCACATCTTTACCAAGGTAATTACTGAAAACTCTTTTTTTTTTTTTTTAATTATTATCATTGCAACAATTTTGAGTTTCTTGTATCTTGTCTTTTTTATTTGAATTGGAATGTGGTAATAAGGAAAAGAACCTAATGAAAATATATGTACAAATTTATTATCTTTATTTATAAATTTGCAAAAATTATAAAAAACCAAAAGCTTGAATTACTCCATAATACATACAAGTAGAAACGAAGTTAATAGACCCCACATTATCATATTTTTATCAACTCTAAAAATAAAAAAAGAACTCGGTCAAAATATAGTACTCCGTAGACCGTAGGTGAATAATGCCAAATTCAATTTGTCAACTACAAAGTAAAAATTAACAACGGAAGTACTTGAACAAATTAATCTTTTATTGAACAAAATGTTGTAAAATTATTCTCCATCGAAACAAATTTAACAAGATTATACGGAGTATTTTTTTTCGAAATACAATAATCGCAATTAAATAGTCAAATAATACTACTCTATGCAGTATACTATACATAGTACGGTGTACTCCTTTTTTTAAAAAAAAAATAAAATTAGTAAATTAATTAGTACTTTTTTTTAAAACAAAAATTAATTAGTACTTAATTAGTGTTGAAATTCAATTATTACGATTTTTTTTTTTTTTTAAAAAAAAAAAAAAAAAAAAAAAAAGGAAGAAGGGGGGTCACCAAATCATGATATAAATAAATTTTTAAAAATCCCATTTCTCTTTAATTCTTGTCTTTGTCTTTCTCAATTCTCACTCCTCATTCCTCACGCAAAATATTCTTAAAATCTGCCCCCCATTTTTATAAACTCTCTGATTCCAACTTCTCTTTCTCTCTCTTAATCAACCACTCTCTATCTCTCTTAAAAGTGTCTTAAAGTTTCTGCCTTTGTTTGTTCAACTGCTTTAGGAACTTACAGTCTCATACACCATTCCCATTAAACTAAAATATACTCTGTTTTTATCTTTATTTTTATTTTTTCTAATTAACTTTGATTGGGAACTGTATTTGCAAAAGTGGGGTACTTGATTGAATCCCTTGAATTATCAACAAAAATGATATTGTGCTTTTATTGAAGGAGTTTATGATGGATCCAGAAAGTGGGCTTTCTCAAATTCAAGAAGTAAAGGTGAGTTCTTTTGCATGTTTTCAATAAAATAAAACTATCCAAAACCTGTTAGATTCCAACTAATCTTAAATCGAGCTGTGCCTCCACTAGGCACGGCCTGATTGGTTCCGTAATGCTAATGAGTGTCTGTAATGATGCAGAAGAAGGAATCATGGAGACAAGTTCTGATCTTGGCCTATCAAAGTTTAGGAGTTGTGTATGGAGATTTGAGCACATCCCCACTTTATGTTTACAAGAGTGCATTTGCAGAAGATATTCAACATTCTGAAACAAATGAAGAGATTTTTGGGGTTTTGAGCTTTGTTTTTTGGACATTAACAATTGTTCCATTACTCAAATATGTGTTCATTGTTCTTAGAGCTGATGATAATGGTGAAGGAGGGACATTTGCTTTGTATACCCTACTTTGTCGACATGCTCGAGTTAATTCACTCCCTAATTGCCAATTAGCAGATGAAGATTTGTCTGAGTATAAAAAAGATGGGGTTGTTATTCCTTCTGAATCAACTATTGGGTCAAGGCTTAAATCAATTTTGGAAAAGTATAGAGTTTTGCAGAAATTGTTGCTTGTTTTAGCTTTGATTGGAACTTGTATGGTGATTGGAGATGGTGTCTTAACCCCAGCAATTTCTGGTAAATTTTCATTTAATATGGGTTCGATGAATTAGGGCAATGATGTAGTCGGGATTTGATTTCACGTCTTGGGTACCACCCCCACGGGTTTGTTATTGGGGGTGGGTTTTTGATATTTATTTATTGATTGATTGATTTTTTTTTGGGTGTGTGATTGGAATTTGCAGTTTTTTCAGCAGTTTCTGGGTTGGAGCTTTCAATGTCACATGAGCATCACAAATGTAAGAATCCTTGTTTTTTTTTTAATCTTGTTTTACTGTTGTGCATGAATTAGGAACTAGTTAGTAATACTATAATTAGGTAGAGATTCAGATTAAACAGTTTTGATTATGACCTATGGTTTAAATATAGTATGAGATTTAAATTAATAAAATCATTTTGTTTGATGCCTTAGAATAATGAATTGTCATATCATTTCTAAATATAAAGTTAGGTTTTATTAACTGTGATTCCTTGGTTTTGTTCTTCTTCTAGTATAGTCTAATTTGAAACTGTGTTATCTTTTCTAAACATGACAAAATTTCCTAAATCCATTACTTTCTTTTAGTGTTAAGCTTTTGTATAGCTAGTGGATTAGGTTCCATATATTTTTTATGTGATTGTGATTTTGCATCAATTTGTCTGTAATTTTTATTATTCGAGAGGATATATTGAAAGAATATTAACATATCTACTATAGTTTTTTATTTGGTAGTGTCAACTTTTCACCCATAACATATAACCAAGTGGTTGAGACAAATATTGTTCTGTGAAGCAAGTCATGTCATTATTCATTATAATTTAGAAGCTACCCTTTGTTTCTTGTTATTTGGCTGCATCTCTAACTGTGATTTTTTAAATCAAGACCCCGTAATTTTTACATTATATATTGAATTGATCAGCCATTACATTCGCTATGAAACTTGATGAGCTAATTTGGGATATATTTTAATTTTGGTTTATCAATTGGGTTGTCTATAAACATGTCATTGACTAGTATGACCACCGACCACTGACCCTCGAATAAAGCAGCAGCCGCTTTGTATATAAGTAAGAAGGGAGAATGTTTCCAGGATGGTGCTTGAAAAGTTTATATACCAAATTGGATGCACGGGCTTGTTTTTATTCTAATCTTTAAAATGAGATAGTTGGAAAAGGATGCATCTTTTAATCTTTTATGAAGCGGCTAATCTTTGACTGTCTAGGATATGTGTCTACCAAAGTAACTTTTGGAAGTAGGTGATGCTGTATCTTTCTACCAAAATTTTAACCTTTTAACACAAGGCACAAAAATTAGCAATGAGATGACCATATATTTTATCATTGATGCCTTCCAATAGCATGTTCGGATTTCGGACGATGTTTCATGATGCGATCAAAGAAGGCTTGTGCTTTAGCATCCGCCTATTGTTGAATTATTGTTATTAGACTTTTTTGAACTAATATAATAATAATTTAGTAATAATTTAGATACAGTTAGGACTTTCATCACTCTGCAGTCTGTAGAATCCTAATTCAATTTTATGCTTATACTTAGCTGTAGTGACTTAACATATTATATACTCTGTCTGGGAATCATTTCGATCTTGATACCATTATATGCTGAAGCTCTTGTTCGGGCTAAAACTATCACCTTCCAGGAAACAATAGGAAGCATGGTTTCATTTGTATCTTTCCACTTTTAAAGGCAAAGGATAATAATGTTTTATAAAATCTTATGAAAGAGTAGCTTAGTGCATTTATGCTGTCCCCCACTTTGGGACAACAAAAAATCGATGTTAAATCGCGTTTCAGTAATATCTTATCAACTTTCTCATATACTTTGAATAGGCGAAATTCACATGGGTTTTTGAGGGCTGATATGTTTGGTTTTTACCTCTCGCTATTGTTTTTTATCTGCATTTATTTGATCTTCGCCCCTAACAGCTCTGTATCCCTTTGTAAGACAGATGTTGAAGTCCCAGTTGCATGCATTATACTTATTGGCTTGTTCGCCCTCCAGCATTTTGGGACCCACCGAGTAGGATTCTTGTTTGCGCCTATAGTCGTGACATGGCTTTTCTGCATCAGTGCCATCGGTTTATATAATATTATACACTGGAACCCACATGTTTATCAAGCACTCTCTCCCTATTATATGTACAAATTTCTGAAGAAAACGCAAACCGGTGGTTGGATGTCTTTGGGTGGAATTTTGTTGTGTATAACAGGTAAAAAAATCTTAGTATTTCAATAAAATCGTTTGTGATAGCCCTTTATCTCTTTTGCAGTGTTAAGCTCACAATTTGAAATTTTACAAGTACAGGTTCAGAGGCTATGTTTGCTGATCTCGGACACTTTTCACAATCATCAATCAAGGTACATTTAACTTTAAATACACATCTTAGTACGTAGTATAATTTTTAACAAATGGAGTGATGGGCCATTTTCGTCAGTCATTCTGGATTCAGTTGCTAGATATTCCAATTGCTATACAATGCTTTCTTTAGTATGACATGCAAGTAGTGACTTTGATTTTCATCTTACTTTGACAATTTTTCGAAAGCTTACTCTTTCGGAAGTCCAAATGCACGGTATCCAAATCATCTATGTGGAATTTGATGTTGTAATTTGGTATTAAATTCTCAAAACCACAGTGATCACTCCACCAAGGCTGTATTACAAACTATATAGACACTTCTTTTGACTGCTTTTAAAGACTAGTTAAAAGCACTATCCATTTTACTGTCTTTAAGCCTTATGTTAGAGGCTGCAATTGGTCTAAAAGTGATTTTTCTGTCCAGATTGCCTTTACCTTTTTGGTGTATCCGTCGTTGATTCTTGCTTATATGGGACAAGCTGCCTATCTATCAAAACACCATGTGATGGCCACGAGTTACCAAATTGGATTCTACGTTTCTGTGCCAGGTAGCCATTTTACACTGATTTATTGGAGTATTTCTTGAGATCTTATCAGTTCGTATGGTTAAAATTTGGAGTTGAAATCGTATGTGGCAGAAAAACTGAGATGGCCAGTGCTTGGAATAGCCATTCTAGCTGCTGTAGTTGGCAGCCAAGCCATAATTACTGGAACCTTCTCCATTATTAAGCAATGTCAGGCCCTTGGATGCTTCCCGCGAGTTAAAATTGTGCACACATCTTCCAAGATTCATGGACAAATATACATCCCGGAGATTAATTGGACATTGATGATATTATGCTTGGCCGTCACTATTGGTTTTAGAGACACAAAGCGTATGGGCAATGCATCGGGTATGTTTTTCAGGTTTTCACATCTCAAAATCAAGCGAATTGAACGTTTTTTCCCCTCCCCTTGTGTTGTGGGATTGGAGGTTAAATGTGATTTTGTTTCATGTCTAAACAGGTTTGGCTGTCATTACAGTAATGCTTGTGACAACGTGCCTAATGTCACTCGTCATTGTCATTTGTTGGCGCAAAAGTGTCTTCGTAGCACTTGCTTTTGTATTCTTCTTTGGCGCCTTTGAAGCATTATACTTCTCTGCATCCCTTATTAAGTTTCTTGAAGGAGCTTGGGTCCCTGTTGCCCTTTCGTTAATTTTCATGGCTATAATGTACATTTGGCACTATGGCACTCTCAAGAAGTACGAGTTTGATGTCCAAAACAAGGTGTCCATCAATTGGCTGCTTAGCTTGGGGCCGAGCTTGGGTATTGTACGAGTCCGTGGTATGGGTTTGATCCACACCGAGCTTGTATCTGGTATCCCAGCAATATTCTCTCACTTCGTTACCAATCTTCCTGCTTTCCATCAAGTCCTAGTCTTCCTTTGTGTTAAATCAGTGCCTGTTCCACATGTAAAGCCTGAAGAACGATTCCTTGTCGGTCACATTGGGCCAAAAGAATATCGGCTGTATAGATGTATTGTAAGATATGGGTACCGCGATTTTCACAAGGATGACTTTGAGTTTGAGAATGATCTTGTGTGTAGCGTAGCAGAGTTCATAAGGGGCGAAGGTAATAAGATGAATGGGTTGAAGGATGAGTCAGATAAGGATAGCGATGAGAAGATGACCGTTGTTGGAAGTCCCTCAACTCATGTGGATGGGATAAGGATGCATGAAGACATGGATGAAGACAACGAAGACTTACCAGGAACTTCCGAGCTGAAAGAGATACGATCTCCATTGACCACCCCAACCCCAAAGAAAAGGGTTAGATTTTTGTTACCCGAAACACCTAAGATGGAAGATAAGTCTAGGGAAGAACTTCAAGATCTAATGGAAGCCAGAGAGGCGGGAATAGCATACATATTGGGGCATGCTCATGTAAGAGCAAAGGCAGGTTCGAGTTGGGTTAAGAAGCTTGTGATTAATGTAGGTTATGATTTCTTGAGAAGAAATTGTCGCGCGCCTTCTTATCCGCTCAGCGTTCCTCATGCATCAACGTTAGAGGTAGGAATGATCTGCCATATTTAGTTAAAATGTTATCTGATGCAATGAGATTTTGCGTATACTTTGTAAATGATGTAATTTTGCTTTGTATATGGAATTGTCACCTTGTTTTGCATAAATTGAAAGGCGACGATAGGAACACTAGCAGATAAGCTATCCATGAAAACCTCATACCTGCATAAGGCATTTGTTATTTTTTGCGGAAGCAATGTGCAACAACTGAAGAACATAATTTTAGCTCCTTGACAAAATGGTTCCCTTCTTCCTTGGCTTCGACGAGCCTATCCCTCCACCTTTGTGTTTTCACGCCTACCCCAATCGCTTTGACATCATGATCGCGCTACAACCTATCTTAAGAGTTGTTCTTTTCACCTTAAACAAGGAGATCTGGTCTGATTTTATTAAGATCTGATCTGGTCTAATTTGAAATATCCTCTGGTCTGATCTTATCTAATTCAATAATTTGACTAAACTTTGACTGCATTTAATACTGATTTATAAAGAAAAACATTATCAAAATGGATCTTGTTAGTTTTATTTCATTAGGAACTTTTCAAATATGTAATTTTTATAATTTTTTTTAATTACGCAATTCACGATATTATGCCATAAGTAAATGATGATTAAAAGTTCTGATCTGATTTAGGTCCTGTTCCGATTGACTGAACTCAGCTGAGCTGAACTGAACTGAACTGAGCTGAACTGAACTTATTAATTAGTGATTTTTAACTACGGATTAGTGATCTGATTATTTATTGATTATTTATTACTATACATATGTGTATATACAAATGTACATATTATTATTAATATTATTATTTATTTATTACTGTACATATGTGTATATACAAATGTACATATTATTATTATTATTATTATTATTATTATTATCTCAAAAACAAAAGTCATACAACCTACAATAAATTAGTGGGAAGCCGAGATACAATCTGGGCCCCCACTCCTCTAGCTATAGCAAAGCCTACTCTAGTGAATATGTGAGCTGCAGCACGAGCCCCAATGTCTTGCGTCATTGAGAACCTTTGAATCCGCTTCAGCAACGCAACAACCTCCTTCTCTAAATCCCCAAGCGAAGAAAAGGAGAAGGGAATGAAACCATATCCAATCGCCAGACAACGAGCTTCATACTTAACCCGCTTTCGATGAGCCGCATCAGCCACAACCCGTCCCGGAACAAAGTCATATAGCCCTGTCTGTGTCAAAGGAGAAGACCCTGTGAAGTCGACACATACATCACGACCACGATCCCATAAATAAAGTAACACATCGGCAGGTCTGAGGGCCCCGTCATTCCCTCCAGGCAATCCTATGTCAACTTCCTTTCTTGCTGAAATCCCAGATCTGTAGCAAATATCAACAAATGTATCCCGAACAACATTGTGCCGATGTTTAATACCAACAATGCTAGCACACGACACCGCATGGTCACCTAATACATCCCCAATAAAAACCCGAGAGCAAGCAGAGCACGGTGTCGAGACAGAGAACAATGGAACACCCATCCGATAACACAGCACACATCGGTATGTCTTAGCGTTCATCGTCTGACCCAATCCAGAAATAGGGACTGCCCGAAGCCAAGCAGAGGTGTGATCACCCTGCTGCGACTTTCACAATGCCGACTGCCGAGGAGACAAAGAAAAGGTGGATTCTGCCGAAGCGGTAACCTTTGTGAAATATATATCTGCCAATTTCTTCATGAGTTTAGGGGCAGCGACCTCATAAGGATTACCTAAAATGTCAGACTCAACCGTTCTAGTAAACAAACTCAACGCATCCTCAAAAGCTTGACCAAGACCCACAATACCAGTACGACACAGAAGCTGCGTCTGCAACCCAACAGACTGCAACCAGGAAGCAAGAAAAAGCATAGTGACGAACATCACCTACGGAGTAAACACCAAGCCCTCCAAACGCAAATGGTAAGGTGGCAAGCCGCCACTGCTAATCACCAAACCCGGGCCCTGAAGCAGTAACAATATGCTCCAAGGAAGATCGAAGAGCCTCGTCGAAAACGCGCTGAGCCCCCTCAAATGCACCTAGAGGATAAGTACGCAAGGAAAAGTAGAGTTTAGAAACTCCAGTACATGCCCTAAGTAACAATAGCTCACAACGAGGATCATCCAGCATAGCAACCTTATCCATAAGCGCAATGGTCTTGGTCACCCTCTGCATCACAAGCTCGCCACTAAACCCGGAATCAGAACTAACAGGACTACCAAGCAGCTTAACACCATGCAATGGTCGAGCAATAAAAGGGGGAAAACACCCCACAAGCCTGCTACGAGGGTCTTCTTTAGGCTAGAAAACTTCAGTTTTTTCCACATTGAGATGCAACCCAAAACGAGGTCCTTCCTCCATAATCAACTATAGAACCTTCCCTACCACCAAATTGTCTCCAATAATAGTGCCGTCATCCAAATACCATGCCTGAAGACATACCTCAAAAGCATCTTTGGTTTTACACACAAGAGGCTGTAAAACCAAAGAAAAAAGGAGAGGACCAAGGGGATCACCCTGCTGCACCCCCTGAGATGACCATAAGGTTTGGTCCCCATAATACAATCTGGCTGGATTAGAGTAGCAGAAATCAACCCACCGCAAAATACCCGGACAACGACGACGGACTTCACGTAACATGACCGCACGATCAACTAGATTGAAGGCATTTTGAAAATCCAACAACAACATAGAAAGACCAACGTCAGAACCACGATCCTCAATCAATTGATTCACAGCATGAAGAATAGCCTCACCCCCTGAAGAAACCCCAACGCCAAATTGAAGACCATCAAAGTAACTGCCCAAAGACTGGCCAACCATAACAACACCGACCTTCAAAACCAAACGTCGCCAAACAGTACCCACAGCTCAAGCCCGGTGGTGTGAGAGGTGCACTAGCAATATACTCTCCTAATTTCATAGGACATCTGCCAGCAAGAAAGAGATTAACCACCCCGGAAATATAGGCAACCAACTCATCTGAGACAGCCACAACAGAACCACTCAAGCAATCCATAAGGTGCTGAGAACGTAAACCATCCCTACCACAAGAAGTACCACGCGGAAAACTCTTAATCCGATCTAAAACAACAGCAGAAGTAGCAACGAGATGAAGTTGATCAACCGGTATATCAGTAGGCAAGGATGGAGCTGGAAAAGAAGGGTGTTTTGACTGTAAATCTACAAGAGTGGCCTCATTATACGGAGCAACCCCCGAAGAAGAAAGAACCCGGATTGCGGCTGTGTAATGGCCATCACAGATCTTCCTACGACATTGCTTGATATTACGCTCATCCAAATCAAGATCCTCATCATCAACCACTGACAAAGTAGGAGAATCCTTTGCCAAAGTTTCCTTCACAAGCTGCTCAGAACCACCTGGTGAACTCCAAGAGCATATAGCCCGAGAAAAACTCTCCTCCTGATGCCGGCGCTTTACGGAAGACGTAGACTCACGACTACTCCGAGGGCGAAAGGTTTTAAGGGTGCAAAGAGGTAACACCAAGTCATCAGGCTTAGAGATCACCTTATCAAGAGCACCTTTAAGGACTCGAGAAAACCCCAAACGACATTTAGGAGGGATAGACTTCACAGTGCGAAACCCCTTTGAGAACAAACAATTAAGGAGAGCCACATCAAAACCACCGAACTAATCTCGCCCTAAACTATCCACATGTCCAATATGGGCCGGAGAAGAGGGAACTTGTGGCTTGGAGAAATTATAAAGCACAAAACAAACAATACCATCTTCTTCATCAGGGGGTGACACATCCTCACCCACCCTATGACGACACTTAGCACGAACCGTATGAGTCTTGTAACAAACCCCACATAACCAAATCCCCATACGAGAAAAAGTAACTTCTGCCTCAGTATAAATGGCCAAACTAGAAGTAAGAGAATGCCGTGTGATATCCCGCGCACCAACACAACAATGGCGATCATGAAGATGCTTGATTAAAGAACTTTTAGTAAGACCATTTCCTTTTCCATCTTGACAGCCACTAAGACCTACAAAAGGACAATGAAACTGCACCATAGTAGTCGACAAAGCTACACACAACCAACCTGACGCATTCGAAAAAGGTTGCAAGAAAAGCAAGCGCTAATTCTTCGCGAAACAGACAGATTTACAAGCAATAAATCTGTTAAAAGACTCCGGAATCCACCAGAAAAGAGTATAACTCTTGAGATTATTATAAAATGTCAAAAACTGAATATTAAAGACGGCTAAAACGTTTAAGTAGTCTAAACAAAACCCTAATGCGAAAATAAAATAAAACTAAAATCCGGAAAATGTTTAAACGTTATTTTCGGGCCTTAAACGAACTCGTATGGCTTAAAAAGCCTGTCAGTCACAAAATCCGGAAAATGTTTAAACGTTATTTTCGGGCCTTAAATGAACTCGGATGGCTTAAAAAGCCTGTCAGCCACAGCGTGGCTATGTGTTAAACTCATTGGCCCGTTTCCATTTCCGAAAACGTATTTTATTAAGCAATCTGACTCCGGGAGCCCGACTAGTAGAAATCATTACCCTTAAAAACTAAAAATCAAGCCTTATGACGCTGTACTTCTTCGTCGAACCGAGAAGCTAACCTCTCTACGTCAGTCTCCTCCACCTCCAAAGAACTCGACCCCGAGTTCGTATCTTCATAAAGTATCTCATCGGCGTGGTACTCATAAATGTCAGCCACATTGAAAGTGTTGATATGTTCATATTATCCGGAAGAGCTACCACATATGCGTTGTCATTGATCTTTCTCGTCACAACCACAAAGTTGAAAGCAAGAACCCCAACAAAAACCCACAATCTGATCGCATAAAATGACCGAAACTGCCAGAAGCACCAAAGCACAAGCAATTCGAACCAACAGACCGAAAAAAACCAGTCACGCTAGAACAAAAACTGACCACAAAAACCCAAAAAGAATAGCACCCGAAACTGCTATAGAATAGCACCGAAACTGCTACTGAGTTGCAACTGAAATGCACCCCGATACTGCTGCTGATTTGGACCACGAAACTGCTACTGATTGCACCCCGAAACTGCACCAAAACACGCCCTGAAACTGCCACAAATCAATAACACCAGAAAAATGAACCATGTCGCTGCCTGAGAAAATCCCTTGAATAGACGCCCAAAAAAACGCTTGAAAAACGCCAGAAATAGCTTGGAAAATCGCCCCTTAAACGCCTGAATTTCTGCCTGAAAACCGCCTGAATTTTTGCC